AGGTAGGTAAAAGCGAGCCAGGGTAGGTGTATAATGCTGACTGTAGTCACTGCGTCTGTCTGTATTTATCTACCGGGTGTACCGATTCCTCTGGGTCCATCCTGTCCCTCTGTATTACAGTGTTTATCGTCCGCCTTTCTCACGCGGGAACACGTACACGACAGAGCCCGGGAATCTCCATGAACGTCAGGTCGTGTATTCACTGTGTAGACGTAACGAGAGCTAAACGGGAGCTAAACGGGGAGCCCCGATTGTCAATTTCGAAAGAATTCGCGTCGTTACCTTCGGAATGCGTTAACGGGACAAGAAGCGTGTATTTATTCGGTCCTTCCTCGCCGACGATTCGAGATAATTTTGGGAAATTCAGTGATGGGAATAACGGCAACGTCGGGGATCGCGAAACCCGACAGAGACAAGTGACGAAGGTGTCGCCTTTTTGTAAGCCAGTAAACGATTCTCGAAATTCCTATGCGCTATCAGGACGTCGAACGTCCAGAGGACGTTTAACCCCGTGAATATTGGACGTCTTTGAAAAATCGTAAAACGTTCGGAAGGACACCCGTTACATACGGGTAAGCGTAAGAAATGGGTGGGTTGGCCCAGGGAGGCCAAGTAACAAGAGAGAAGCAGGCAGAGTGAGACGACGCAATAGTTTTCGAGCGTAGAGAGGAAGAACCAAGACTAAGAGTGGAAGGGAAAGGGACGAGGTGGGCCAAGAAGAAGAGAGAGAGAGAGAGAGAGAGAGAGAGAGAGAGAGAGAGAGAGAGAGAGAGAGAGAGAGAGAGGAGCAAAAGGAAGAGAATGGAACGGAAAGAGAACTCGCTTGGGTGCCATGTGCATCGATGAGTGGATACCGTGGGCTACGGAGCCAGCAAAGAGGTATCCGAGCAAGTTCAGGGTGATGCAGCACCAGGTCCTTCGGCGTCGTTTAGCTTCCATTCCTCCGCTACGATTTCAACTTCACCGTACACGCATCTTCGCCGGCTTCCTCTTCACCTACAGACGTTCCGTCGCGACGCTGGACGCATTCGGCCGTGACGATCTAAAAAATCCAAGAGCTTCGCCCACGCGCGTGTCTCCTCTCAATTGCTCTGCACAACGAGGTATCATTGACCCTTGTTGTTGTGAGCGCTTCCATAGGTTACAGCCAGAAATATCCTCGGCGTATACCCGGTAAGAAGCTACGAGCAGCCTGACCGAGCGAGGGGGGAATTATGCGCAGGCCAAAAAATAAACACGCATCCAGCACCAGGTGGATGAGGGCAACGTGATTCTCTCTGGTTTTGCATTTCCTGCGATTATATGCCGATGAGTCGTTAGTGCACGTCTGCCGTTGCACGCGACGTTGCCAAAACACCGGGAGGAAGCCCAGCAGACATTTAGAATGGGAAGTGATTTTGTTAAATTGAAGTTAGAAGTAAAGGAGAAGAAGGTAGGAGAGGATATAAACGTATATGGCCGACCAGTGTATTTATTTCGTGAGTGAAATTCTTTTTGAGCTTCTTGAGAATCCTGACAATGTAAAGCGCGTACCAATCGCCGACTCTCCCCGAGGAGTTCTTTGGCAGCGTGCGCCGTCGTCGCCGTCGTCGTCTTGGCTCGACGTTACACGACAACCGTGCGACAGCGCGACGAGCAATTTGTCAGTAGGTCGGGTTTACGTGCGACATGGAAGACTCCTAACGTCCTGTTACACCATTGTATACGTTACTAATGACGATAATTTGTCGCGGACGTTAACGCCTAATAGTATTGCTGAATCGACTTCGCGCTATTTACTTCGGGCAATCGTTACGTTTTCACACGTCAAATTGATCTTGTTAGGTTAGGTAGACAAGATTGCCCCGCTCGTGCGTCGGCTTGGAAACTCTGCTAAAAGTTTATAGATGTCCCATAAACATTAACACAGAGCCTCGCTTCATGCTCATCTGCCTGTGAAAGCTATATGAGCACTTTACAATGTGAACGGGCTAATTTGTGATATTGTGTTTGTTCAAACAAAATTTGCCTTTTTTTTTTTCGATGAAAAAGAAAAAAAACTTTCTTCAGAATACAGATTATATTTTATAAACATGCCGCGACGATCGATGCGATATTAAAAACTCGGTCAAGTGTCTTATCTGGTTTAATGCAAATGTTCCTGTATGATTTTTAAAGTTTGACGTGGCTCAGTGTAGACACATAGCAAACGGAGATTCGCGTGTACACGACGGTTAAGTTATTTGTATGAGAAACACAAGGAATGAATGAACGAAACAAGCGAATGAATGAATGAAGACGAAGGAGGAACGTGACAATTTCGAAGAAGACCAGCATGAAAAAGTTTCCGCTTCGACAGAACCTAAGATTGCATTCGGCTGAGAAAAAGCCGTTTGAAATGTTTTATTCAAACGGACAGTTTTTACTTCGTTCCTGCCGCCGACATTCGGCGCGCGATGAAGAATGCAAAGGCAAAGGAGAAGCAAGGCGCCTTTACAAAGTAACGAAGTGGCAAGTGCATCTCGGGGACTGAACAAGGGCGGCTATACTAGTTGTTACTTCAGACGAAGCCACCTCCTGTACATTGTGTAGAATATCGACAGCATGAAAAAAGAGAGTTTCGAAATGACAAACGTCAACAAAAGTTAACGCGATAACAAACTGCACGTCGCGATGCACTTTACTCGTGCTTGATCCTACTCAGATATAGGCGGATGTCGCAATCTATTAGAGCATGACGACAAACGGGTTCAAGCATTAAACTCGGTAGGATCTGAAACGTAATAAAACTGATTCTGCTGTAGCTTCTGTATTCGACCAACAGATACGTTGCCGCACGGAAACCCGACGATATCTACTTCCGGTTATGCGCGTAAAAACGCGATACTTTTTTAATCTCATATGAAATAATTCTAAATGGTGAATGAACCCACATTTGAAACGTCACTTTCCGATCGTATTGTAAGTCTTTCGCGATGCCAGACCACTCATCATCGGGTAGGAAAGACGATTGAGCTTGGAAAGAAGTACTTGTACGCAGGGAATGGTGCTCGATCGGTAGTGATACTACGATCATCGATCATGGATCATCGATCATAACGAGCGATTGGAGGATGACGTATATCGGTCGGCAATACGTTTGCGAGGACGGCTTAAGCTAATCAGCTGATGCCCGTTGTTGATTCAGTCATCACGTTCGTGACCAACAATGATTTGCGCAGGGCAATTTGAACAGGGAGCGATTGAGATGACATGATCATTAGAAATGACGTGATAGGTCGACTCACCGAAGACGGGGCTGAGGTCAGACCTCGACGACGTCTTCCCCGACGTCCCGTAGCTTCCACCAGCGAGGGATCCCTTTTCCTGTAACACAGAGATGGTATTCTGTGACGGCGTCTGACGAAGGAGAGATACACGGAGGATGATGATGCTGTCGCATGGCGCACCTCTGACTCCGTGAGGTCGATGAGCGAGCTCTTCTCCTCGGTGAGGTTTTCCGAGGACCTTTTCTCGTCCTCGCCCTCATCCTTGAAGACCTTGACCTCGTCCTCGCTGCCGAGATCATCCCCGCCGCCGCTGCTGCTCACGTGCGGCATTATTGCGCACTGACGCCGGCTCCCGCACACGACTACTGTATTCCCCTACGTGCGCTGAGAAAAGATTTTTGTCTCGTCACTGACCGATGTCACTACCTGTCGTATCTCTCGTGCACTTGGCGCACTGTAACACTGCCCTGTCACTTTCACAGAAAAACCAGAAAACCAGAGAAAACAGAAAAAAACACAAGAGGGCCGCACCGCTCGGCTCGATCGCGCGCGAGTCCGCGGGCGTCGGGAGACGTCGCGAGCAGAAGGAATCGAGCACGCAATCAACACCACCAGTCAAACACCAGTAAACCTAAGTCGTTGCCGGCGACATGACGAGCGCGCGTTTTGTCTACATTAGCCCAAAGCGAATTGAGGGGATGTCTGGGTGGCCGATTC